CGCCCGTGCTCTACTTACTAGACACCCTGTACATGGGTTTGTTTAGACATGTACAAAACTGAATTGCTGACACAGTTAACCAAAAGAAAGCTTTTTACAGCCAAATAATCCAGATTTATCTGATCTTTTTTTTCATTTATTACTACTAAACAGTGCATCAAAAAAGCGAAAAAAAATATTATTTGAGAAATTAAAGAACGGCAAATTGTGCGTCGAACGAGTACCTAAACTTAATAATTTGATTAAGTGATATGATCGATAACCACGGTCAATGAACGCTAATTTTTACTGATATTGTCAAAATCTGAGAAAGATTACAATAAATGGTCCTGCAGCTTGGAAATGAGTTCTCTAAGAACTAAAACTCAGAATAATTTTTGATTCCGATCATAATCAGATTCCTGCCAAATTGGAGACGAAATAATTCGTATCTTGCTTCCTGAAAACGTTCCCAACAGCATCTGTTTTAATAAAAGAACAACACTTTCTAATGAGAAATGAACAAATTATTATCGTGACAAGTATTACGGATCGCAAGGAGACTGTAGTTGCTTGAGATTGCAATGCATCCGGATCTATTATAACTGAATAAAAACTGGGTCCAGAAGAAAACCCGTATTTTCTTTTGCTCTAATAAAAAGTTGTTCGAAAGAATAAATGAAGTTTATATTTTTTAAAATAAATTTTCTTCCATCATGTATTTTTCCTGCGAGATGTATTCCAGTTCGGAGTCAATATGAACAAACTGCGATAGGAGCTCTATCCTTCGCATCTCACGGCGGCCCAAAAACGACATCACTCTTTTCTTTGAATAGCTGCTTTTTGGAACTTTTTCGGAATTTTTTGTCCACCATCCAGGGAAAGGGTCGCTCTCTTGCAGAATTCGCTAATGCTCGTCACGATAATATAATAATATATATATATATTGCATTGAAAAAAAACCGTCTATGAGGATGAATTTTTCCTATATTTCTCTTTTCATTAAACAGATGCTTAAAATATTAGTTTTCGAAAGGAAGGTCCTTCGGAGGATATTTGGTCCAGTTAAGGAGAATGGAGAATTAGACGCAATCAAGAATTAACTAAATTATACAAGGAACCGATTATGATGAAATACACTGACATGCAAAAAATTCCACCCACTTGTTACCCATTAAGGAACCACGTTGGAAAGGTTGGCTCTGGGAAAAATTACAGGCTGCATATCTTTCGTTTCTTCTTCTCCACACCCTTTCACGCCCATCTGGAGATCGAAGAGCGAATCTTGACTCATCTGTAAAAAGTACAGCACTCCATTGGTCCATAGTCAAATGGCTGTGTTCTCGAGCAAAAGCCAGCCGTGTTACTCTGTGAGTTCTGGTCAGCTCTGGTTCTCTTACTGGACGAAAAGCCATTAATCCATACTCATTTAATCTTCTCCGAGCGTTACGTTCAGAAATTTGCACACCTCGAACTTCTTCGAGCTGGTGAATCGCTTGAACAACGGTAAGGTGCCGTTTTCGTAAAATTCTCAAAGTCAAAAACCGGTCATCCCGTGGTTCTGTTACCCTAGGCATTCCAGAACCGGGCCTTCTATTTTTCTATTGTAAGAACAAGTTTCACGAAAACGCCTGACGGCGTCTCGTAAAGTTTCATATGGAACTCCGATGGCATTAGCTGCATATCTAATGCAACGTCCATCATCAATAAGTGCCACACCACGCGCAACATCCTCAGCACTAACAGGAATTTTTAAACTAAATATTGAAAAAATTAAAAGCCGGAGACTAAGAAATGTGCTGCAAGAAACGGCATTGAACTAATGATACTGAATAAACATTTTGATTCCATAGAAAGTAAACATTGCTATCTAGAATCATTTCATTGAATTAAGGATTAAGGGTTATTGTCCTCTATATTAACATTCCTAATTGAAAACAAACAAAAAGATTACTTATTTATTCATTAAAAACAATAGACCAATCCAAAGCAGAAATATTTTTAGATGAAAACATGAAAAAATCAAGTGGGTGGAATTTTTTGTCTGTCAGTGTATATCCGGATAGCAAGGCTGAGATCGAAGGGCTAAAGTTGTATGGATGAAGGAGACCTTAATCCCAAAGAAGCTGCTGAGGTTGGAGCCAGTTGAAAAAGAAAAGTGGACAGACCGAAACTGAGATGGAAAATGAAGTGCAGATGCCAGAATCCATGGAATCAGGAACTGGTGGAGGCTGCTCAGGACAGGGAAACATGGAGGCAGCCAAGATCCAGTAATGGATTTTCGAGCTCAGGATGATGATATTGATCACAGAAAATTTGTCTTGGAGGATGATTTTTCCTGTATTTCTCTTTTCTTTAAATAGCTGCTTTTTGGAACTTTTCCCCAACCATCCAGGGGGGAGAGGGGCGCGCCCCCGGCTGGATCCGCTAGTACTGGTCATAACAATAATTTTTTTTATATCACAGAAAATTCGTCTTACAGAATGAATTTTTCCTATATTTCCCCTCTCTTTAAATAGGTGTTTTTTTTTTAATTTTTTCCACGAGCGCCCACCCCTCCCCCCGGCTGGATCCGCTAGTGCTCCATTAAGACAAAAAAACTGAGTTGGTTTAGGTATGTAATGAGAATTGGACGACCGATGGCCTAAAAGAATACTTGAGCATGTACCTACCACCATTGGAAAGGAAGAAGAGAGGTCTCCCGGAAAAGAAATTGTTGGAAGGTTGGCATGAGGCTACGTGAGCTTAAAAAGGTTTATACGAGCAGCAAAGGGACTCCGGGAGGAAGACTTATGATAAAAATAAATGGCGACAGGGATTATTAGGTTACAACATACCTTTAAAAGTGTTGTAATTAAAGTCGTTTATATATAATTATATCTTTGTCAAATTACACGCTTCCTACTGTTTTTAAGAGACATTGTCATATGCATTCCGGAGGTAAATATATATTAAGTTAGTTTCAATGTCATGTGCTATCTTCTTTACCAAAGACAAGGTAAAAATATGATCTACAACTTCAGGAACCCCCCGCTCCTTCTCTAATTCGAGAACTCTTCCTCCATCCTTTTTTTCAGGACTCGGCAGTAGTGTGGGATGAATTTATACCCCACACTTCTTTTCACTGTGATTTTTATGTAATATTTACAAGTTTTTCTTCCCGTTTTTTTATAAATAGCTATAATATCTCTCATTAACAATCCTTTTCTTGTCTTCATACATGTAAAATCTCGGTGAGTACCTCCTTGTTCAACTGGACCTATTTTGATGAATTCAATCGACAGATCTACAGGTCCTGAAACCTACCATTTTTCTTTTTCCTCAGTATTTTCTCTAAAGAGGCATCATCAATCCTTTAATCATTCTGTCCGTTTTCCTGGTCCATCAGTTTCTAATCCATTCTCTCTTTCTGTAGTAAAACCGGAACATGATCTTTTCATTCTTTGATTGATATCAAGGAAGAGTTATTATTGTGAGCTTGAGTTTTTTAAATAATTTTATTGAATAAAATTTAGGTTATGAAATATTAATGTTCTCTTTAAGTTAACGAAAGGCGAAGTGAAAAAAAGTTATCTACTTTAGAGCGTTCTTTTAAAACTTGTTTAACTACTTCGCTTATATTCTATTCAATAATAAAATTCCATCGAGAATGATTCACTCTTCTTTATGCTAAATTACAATCAAGCCATCTACGATTGCTTCAGTTTTTATTCATTGATGAAAGTCGTTTACGACTAATGAAACTAAAACATTAATCATGAATAATGACTAAAATTTTAATCAATAGTCGTTTGAAGTGACTATCAAATGGCAAAACTTTTAGTCGCTAATTTTATTAATTTGCCTATCTCTTTATCGTCTCGACTTGGAATAATGATAGAGATTAGGAAATTTAATTAATAGTAACAGTAATATTGGTTTTAATTTAATTTGTGGTATTTATTTTCTGTGCCGTGCTAAATTTATTTTCTATTAAATTTAATCGTTCAACTTCAGCTGTCTTTATTCAAAATTTGTCTAATAATATGTCTAACAATACTAATTGGCCCGTGCGAAAAATTCGCAGAAAATTTTGTTTAGCAAAACACTATGGAAATAGATAGTTCCTATGTATTACGTAAGGAAGGAATTAATATTTTTTTCTTGGTCGATTACAATATTCCATTAAACATAATAGACCAAAATATTTCTACAAATCGATTTGCTAGGACCTATGTTTAAACGCTGACTGGGAAGATGATAAAAGTAATAAAGACAAAATAATGCACCGATCATAGGTTATTCTAAATTATTACAAAAAAAATAAAATATAAGAACAACCTAATGTCTTTAAGAAATAATAAAGTTAATATAAAAACAGGAAAAAAATGTAGTAGACTATTCTACTCCTAAATGCAATATATTTAAACAGGAAGACATTATTAAGTATACCAAAACTAATGGACTGTATCTTTGTTAATAATTGTCCAATTTTTACGGTTTTTTGTTTGTTTTGTAGGTAATTTTTTAGTTATATTTCTAATGATACAAAGAGTATAATCCAGAAAAAAATGCATACTTTTTGAGTTATTCACCAATAAAATTTCCTTTTCCCCATAACTTTTTTCCAGAAATTTCAGGGTGATAGGACTATTTTTCGCAAGTGAAGGAGAAGAATATCTTCAAAATGAGTGGTCAATGATTGGATTTGATGAAGAATTGACGAAGTTATGGCGCACCGACAAAAAAAACATCTTTTAGAAATAATATATAGGATATATATATATATACATACATACAAATATATACATATATACATACATACAAATATATACATATATACATACATACAAATATATACATATATACATACATACAAATATATACATATATACATACATATTATCTAAAAAAAGTAAGAAGAAAAATATAGTTAAACGTAAACAAATATAAAAACAGAGATGTTTAGCTAAGAAAGTGCTGGAGGTAGGGGCGGGGTTGCGCGTTTTAGTGGGGACTCGTTAGCTTCAGTCACCGGTGAACTCCGACCGTGTGGAGATGTATGTGTCAGAGCTCAAGGATCTTCTTACAGGTACGTCGCAAGATTTTTGCATAATAAACATGTATTAATAAAATAGTATGATTATATATGCGTGTATTATTGTCTTTTATTAACCTCTCATGCACAAATCACTACAGCCCAAAAATGAATAATTTACCAAGCATCTAAAAACCTAATAATAAACAAAAAATTAAAAATTGAATGAACATTACCTCATTGCAGTTGTTATTAAAACTTTTTTTTGAAAGAGAAATATTCACTAACTTATCGAATAACAATATTGATATAATTTATATCAACCAATACGTCAAATTTATGAAAACCAGCACTTGTTATTTATAGTGTTTTAACTTCTACTTGTATATTTCGAGGATAATTGGTTCTCCTATTCAGCATTTACAATTATATAAATAATACATTATAAGTTCTCAATTTTTAAAAATTTTGTTAGGCTCTATATTGTCTAGTCATTCACATTTTTTAAAATTTGTAACATTATCAAGTCAATTTAATTTTCCGCTGATTGTACTCTCAAGACAAGTGCGGATGAAAGTATAACATTTTTAAAAAATAATCTTGTGTTTGAAATACTATTTTATTTTACCAATAATATTTACTTACCGCATATGCCACATTATTGGGAAAATCTCAGAATAAGTTTACGAATTATTAAATCTGATTTAGGCAATTTGTCGTTTTAGACTATTTGTTTGGTTATCACTCGAGTTTGAATTTGACAATCAAGTCGATAAACTCACAGACACACACACCGAATTCGTAATGAAAAATATTTTTAAAATATATTAAAAATAAAAAGTTTCATTGTGTTTACAATTACATATGTTGTACATATTATATATTTAAATAATTAATTATATTGTGAAATGATTTATCGCTACTGTTTCCAATTTATGTTATATGTATGATAATTATTTTATTACAATCGTAAATAAATATTTTTCGTTCTTTATGTGTAATGGGGTTCTGATCTCTTTATTAAACGCGTGTTCTTATATTCACATTATTTTATTTACTTATATTAAAAAACAAATGTAAGTTTTTGACCGGTTAAAAATGCGTTTATTGAAATATATTATAATAGCTGCATAATTTAAGAAAGTATGCAGTGAAATATACCATCTTCAATATTTTCAGTAAAGGAGTTCATGATAAAAAAATTATTTTTATCATTATATAACATTTTTTGTTTTTTACTAGGTACATCCTATATTTCAATTAGCAATACAACGAAAATATAATATAATTTAATTTGTGATATAAAGAATGGTCAGATAATAATATTTAATAATCCATTATTTATTATTAGTCTCTTGTTTTTATTTATTATAATATAAATTAAAATGTTTGCAGTAATGTAATGTGTTATGGGTAATAGTTATAAACAAATAGGTTTGTTATAGAGGAAAAATAACCAAGATTAAAAAGAAAATCTCGATTTAGTACAAATATTACTATGCTATTAAATTTTTATTATTATGATCGTAATTGTTCGTTTTTTATTTATTTTTTTATCTATTGTGTATCCATCTAATGTATAAATATTGATATGCATTGTGACATGATTTATCTCTACTGTTTCGTGTTTCTTTTACATGAATGACAATTTTTTATTTGAATGTTAAATGAATATTTTAAGTTGATATGTTTCATTGTAGGTGGGTTCTTAATTTCACCATTGTTCGTTTACTCGCGTCCAATAATAAGTCCAAGGAGTTAATTTATCAAACGGTACCGTTTTATTCTAATAGTTTTTGTTTTGATAGCATACCATTTTTCGAATTTATCAAAGTATATGCTAAAACGCAATGCAGCCAGGTTGTGACATTTCTCTGTTCCTTAAAGAGGATCCCTTTTTCATAAAAGTCTTTTACATTATGTTTATACTATTATTCTATTATTTTTTGTGTATATCAATTTTATATCTTTATCCAAGACTCGTTGAAACAAGATAAGTGAGGTATAAAAAATTATCGAATTAATTTTATTTAACTACAATATAAAGTATTTTTTCGTATACGTGTTACCGATAATTTTTTTTTTTTTAAATGTGTCTATATTTTATTAAAAATGCTTATACTTATTGAGATGTAGTACTTATATCTCGGCATTTGTTTTTCTTATAACTGTATTCTTATTCCTCTATATTTTCTTCTTAAGCACCTGATGTCTACTTCTCGAATTTCCATGTTGTGTTCCATATTATCATTTTTTTATTCCTAATCTAACTTACGTGTAAAAGTATACTAATCTGATGCAAACATGCAAACTTATATATATATATATATATATATATATATATATATATATAATATATATATATCAAATAATAAAATAAAAGTATATATATATATATATATATATTATATATATATATATATATATATATATATATATATATATATATACTTTTATTATAATTTTTTGTTTCTTTGTTACCGGTGTGCATTGGTCTTGAAGGCATACTGTTGCTTGCATTCCTTCACGACATTCACTGGGTCTAAGCGTCTGTTTATATCTATATGGTTCTGTATGTTTTATAAGAGAAAAAATACTTTCTAAAAAATTATGATTTATATGAAATTTCATTTACATAAATTTGTTTATAGATACAAAAATGGTACATATTTACGATCCAAATTCATTTGGTTCAGTCTAACGTTAATAATAATTTTCGTTTTCAAATAATTTTTTATTTTTTAATCTTATTTATTGAAAAATATTACAATCTGTCTCAAGGACATTTATTATAGTGTTCACAGATCACATTCGCACTCTATGTACAGTAAATAAAATAAATTATACAGAAAAATAACATATATACAATAAATAAGAATAAAATAACCTAAAAATATATGAATAAAAAGAACACATACATACCTATATACAATATTCACAATCTGGTGAGGGAACTCCAAACCAGACTTGTCCCTCCAAGTGTGGAGGGAAAAGCATGGTTCCAGGAGATCCCAGCACTTCTCTCTCAACCGCCTCACTGGGGCTAAACCCATTGAAGAACAAATAATTTAATTTTTTTTTTTTTTAAATATACCCATTAATAATTGCTGGATATAACTCGAACGAATGAACGGTCTTTATACTTTAACATTAATTTGGTTAAGATATTTATTTAATATTTAAGTATCTTAATTTTTAATCATTTATCAACATAAATATATGTTTTATAATTTTTAATTTTTGTATAGAACCTAAGTAAATATCATTTTTACTTAAGCTTACCCATTATCATTCGCTGTTTAAGTTTGTCAAGTATATTAGAGAAAGTTTTAATAATGTATTTGTTTTGGGGTTTTTGTGTTCTCGCTCATTTTTTTGTGTAATAATTACAGAACTGGCAATGTGTTTTAGTTCAATCATATCAAATACTTTAATGCGTTTTATGTTATTGTTTTTTTTTTCCTCAAGGTATGCGTGGTTTAATTATATCCACACATTATTATAAAAGTATATTAATTATTGTTTCAGTATTTGCTACATATATGGCAAATAGACAATTATAAATGCATTTTCTTGCTGCATTTGTTTATAGTGATAAAAAAACAGTCTGAAAAATGAAAAAAATCTTATGAAATAGAATTATTTATCAATTCAAACAAATAATTCGCATGAGATATTGGTCAGTTTTTGTTACCGATCTTCCTTTGTTAGAACTTCATTAAAAAATTACAATATATATATAAGTATACTAATATATTATTCTATAATGACCAGTGAACAAATAACGATATAATGAAAATAGAAAAATAGTCTTTATTGTGGGTCCCTTAAGATTAACAATATTTTTCATGCAAATAATCAATAAATCTGTCCAATAGACCTATTACAATAAAGAGTAACTAAAGCATAAACAATAAGACAAGTCTATACATAGTTATATTGAATATTTTATGGTTGACCGTTGCATTATAAAGAAAGGAGATGGTCCGGGAGCTTTTAATAAAATAGTTTTGCCACTATTTAGCCTATTTTTGACTTCTACCCCAGACCATCTCCTTCCTTTATACATAGTTATAATATGGATATAAGTAAATGTAATTCATTGAGAATCGGAGGAATTTTATTTAAAATAATTGACTAAAACATGAAAACATAAAATAATTGGCTGTATCTTTGCTACAACAATTCTTACAAAAATTATATATTTTTTGGTTTATGGGTTTATATTCGTAAAGTTTCCTTTATTTCATAATTTTTGTTCCTAAATTTTCACAGAGGCGTCATTATTTTTCGCAGCTCATTTTAAGATAAATTTGATGATGATGGCTAAATAAATGAATTTGATGTAGAATTAACAAAAATATGGAATATTTTTGAGAAACAGTATATAAAGATGGCAATATTTTAATTCTTAAAAACTTAAATAAAACCAAAACACGATAAGTATTCCATGGAAACCGTGGCAGCTTATAGACTTTCAAATCACTGTTTATTTTCTCGAAAACGGTACATTTTTGGGCCTGTAAACGAATCTAACCTAGTATTAATACCCCCGCTTCTTAAAAACGGATTTTTCCCATCTCGAATTACCAATGTCGGTGTTTTTAAGTTTTATAAATTGAAGTTCTAGCATAAATTTAAGGATCGAAATTGGGATTCGTCACTTTTTCTTAAAATTCTCATTTGTTTGATACATCATTAAACAGAATTCATCGCTAATAAGAGCGGGAAAAGAGATATATACGACCCTAATATACATAATGTAGATGTTTTACTTTCTTATCCACCTGAGGTATTGAAATTTTGGAAAATTTATGACTCACCAATATTTTTTTAAAATTGTTAATCATGTGCATTATTAAAATAATTGCAGTCAACTATAAGTTTTCTGTAGTTCTAAGAATTTAATATTTTCTTTCAGTATACTACGATATTATTTGTTTGTTTGTCATTTATTATAAGTTATCAAGATATTCATAACTTGCTTTAGGTTTATCAAATAATAGGGAAATAAACTCAAGGAATATGAAGCTTTAAATTCATGTTGAAATGGG